ACAGTTTATATAGTCATTGTTAAAGGCAGTACACAGTTTATATAGTCATTGTCACGTCACACATGGAAAGACGTGTCACAAAGAGACAGTCACATCAGAGTCATAACATGGAGTCCTTGTAGAGTCCTTCACGTAGGCCATATTGCAATCTAATACTAACACCCTCCCCTTTGATCACATAATCACATGTGATCACTCAAATTGATCAATCAATAAAGTGGAAAAAGAAAAAAAAAAAGAAATTCTAAAAAAAAAAAAAAAACGTTTTAAAAATTATTAGAACTCATAATCATCCAAATCAATATCAGTGGATTTTATCCTCAATCCTGGGAAAAAATAAACAAACAAAAGTAAATAAATAAACAAAAAACAACAAAAACAAAAATAAAAACAAACAAACACTATTGGACACACAAGAACTCTTGATTCTCTAATCTGTGCTGATGAATCTACAGCTTTTTAAACTTCTCAAAGATATCCAAATATCTACTATTTTGTTTTTGGACTATACCCAAATGCATCAAAATGCTTTTAAATGCTTTTGGTTGTAATCTATCTCATTAATCTAAGCTACACTCATGAACTTTTTGCATTGTCAACATTCACAGATGTGTGAACACAAGTGAATTTGGCAAGTATCTAATAAAACTGTAATTAACTTTATTTACTTCTGAAGTAAATGTTTGTGAAATGGCCCTTTACCATTTGATATTAGCACTGGCTACAAATAATCTCTATTTTTGAAAGCATCTATGGTTGATGCATTTATCTAATTCTATTTTTACTCTATTGTGACTCTAACTCTAACTACTTTGCGTTTGCAACTTGAGCAAACACATATTTCTAATTTGTGACTTCTGTCACTTTTAATGACCGCAAAATAATTCTGATTCTAATATTCTAGCTGCTCTATCAGAAGGATAACATTTTGAAGTTATGATTTTAACTCTTACGTGGAAATGTGTTTATGAACAACAAAGGAAGTCAAATTCTACTTTTTTACTACTATTTAACGTCTACTAAAACGCTACAATACTCATACTTTATCATTTTCAAAGTTTTTGTCTGTCAGATGTCTGAATACTTAACATGTATATTGCATTTGGTCACAGGTTCTGGTTGTAGCAAGAGCATCGGCAATAGACGTTTTCATTGGCTGGTTCTTGTTCTGCAAATGTCTGTGTCCAATAGATCATCAGATGTCCAGAAGCTAGGGACAAACAAAAACAAAAGAAAGAATCATGAGTATCTCTCTCATTTAGCACTCATCAATGTATGATTTTAAAAATATAAACATCACTCCCCCGGTTTTTCTCTCTCGGGTCCTCAGATCCTCAGGTCCTCAGGTCCTCAGATCCTCAGGTCCTCAGGTCCTCAGGTCCTCAGATCCTCAGGTCCTCAGGTCCTCAGGTCCTCAGATCCTCAGGTCCTCAGGTCCTCAGGTCCTCAGGTCCTCAGGTCCTCAGATCCTCAGGTCCTCAGGTCCTCAGATCCTCAGGTCCTCAGGTCCTCAGGTCCTCAGATCCTCAGGTCCTCAGGTCCTCAGGTCCTCAGGTCCTCAGGTCCTCAGATCCTCAGGTCCTCAGGTCCTCAGGTCCTCAGGTCCTCAGGTCCTCAGGGTCCCCTGAGGGTGAGTCTCAGTCGTCATCAGGTCAGGTCATAGAGAGATGTCATCTTGGACATCAGTAGGGTCCAAGCCATGGTTCTGGTCTCTCCAGATGCACATCAGGATCTCCAGATACAGTCTTTTCACTTGAAGCACATCAGGTCATTTGCGATGCACTTCTGGTCAATGGTGCAGTGTCTCAGTTCCTGTACACAGCTTGTCCATGTCTTTTTTCTTCTTCTTTCAAACAATCACTTTCTTTCTTCTTCCGATAACTCTTGTCTTAAATGTTCTTTTCTTCTTCTTTCAACAATCACTTTCTTTTCTTCTTCTTTAAATTATCACCTTCTTTCTTTTTTCCAATCTCTTTCTCATGTCTTTCTTTGTCTCAGTGTGGTGTCCTTCTCTCTTTCTTGTTAGGTTATACACAAACTTTCTTCTGCCGTGCACATAAAAATCCAAACTCGGTTTGTGCAAAAATAGTTGGTTCTTCCGCCATGTAAGATGGACGGCCGGAGAGGTCTTTTCGAGACGTTCATGTTTGGTGCACTGCAGACATGCTGCAGTTCTTTGCTGCCCCCTGTGGTTGATGTGATTGAAACGGGTGGAGACGCAGATGGTCAGTGTGATGGCGCCCAGATTTGAGGTCTTGTGGCAGACGATTTTGGCCAAATGAGACTGACAGAAGTTTTTATCGGAAAAAACAGACAAACAAGAAAGCACATAACTAGTGTGTTAATTCCATACGAAACCATTGATTAAATCTACAATTCAAAATAAACCTATGTAAATATATTAATATTAAAATTTTAAACATTAATTCTGAAAACCAATTCTGCATTCAAACTGGTCGGCGTATCTAAGACCTATTTTTCCAAAAGTATAATGCTCTCTAAGATCATTCTAACTTTTATTATCACAAAAAAATGTAGGGAAAAAACTTGTTTCTAGACGCCCTTGGAGAATAAAATATAAAATAATAATGCCTCTTTATAATCTAACTCAAAGTTTGTTGATCTATGACTCCATGTCAGTAACATTATCGTGTGTTTTACAATGTATTTTTCGGTCTCTCTCTGGTTTATGGAGTGCTGCTGAATTGATCTCATGATGCGTTCACTGTGACGTAAATGCTGGAATTTACAGCTCTGACCCGAGGCTGTGTTTTCACACTCATCACAAACAAACAATCACACACACACGCACGCACGCACGCACGCGCGCGCGCACGCACGCACGCACGCACGCACGCACGCACGCACGCACGCACGCACGCACACACACACACACACACACCCACACACACACACACACACACACACACACACACACACACACACACACACACACACACACACACACACACACACACACACACACACAACACACACACACACACACACACACACACACACACACACACACACGCACGCACACACACACACATCTGCTGACCTGAAAGCCCTCTGTCTCTTTAGAAAACATGTGCAGTATTTTACATAAGAGAGATCCCTGTGAGTCACTTTTTGTCTCTTTGGGCTGGGAGCTGATTGGCTGAGAGAAGGGGGTCCTCACTTTGTCACGTTTCTGAAGAAGCTGATCTAAAGATGTGACAGAGGCCAGAGAAACATGAAACTAGTGAGAGAAGAAAGAGTCAGGTTTGGTTCCATTGTTATAGTTTGAAAGTTACGGACCACAGCTTTAATTCACTGAAATACACATATGATTAAAACGTTCAATCCATGTTTTTAATTGCGTTTATTTCTTTATCAAACATTTTCATGTTTTTGATAGTTTTAATATATTTTTAAATTTTGTATTTTTTGTATTATTGTTTGATGTACTGTGTGTATTTTTAATGTATTGAATTCTAATGCATGTTTTAATGTTGTGTTTATTTTGTTTCTTGAACATTTCAGATCCATGCAGTGAGGATAAGGAACAGTCTTCCTGGGTATGTGAGACAGGCCTCTCAGACCAGGTTCTGATCACCTGGAACCCCACAGTTTAAAGCCCAATACTTGTCTGCTGCTGTTTCAATATCCCACTATTGTGTATTTTATTTACTTCTTGTTTTGAATCATTTTTTATCTGTTTTTAGGTTTCTCCTTGTGAAGCACTTTGAATAACCGTGTACGAATATATTATTGACTAGTCTCTCTCTCTCTGGTCTCACTCTATGGTATCCCTCTGATCTCTCACTGGTCTTTCTCTGATTTCTCTCTGGTCTCTCTCTCTGATCTCTCTCTTTAGTCTCTCTCTGGTCTCACTCTGGTCTCAATAGTCTCACAAGTCTCATGGTCTCTTTCTGATCTCTCTCTGATCTCTCTCTCTCTCTCTGGTCTGCCTCTGGTCTCTCACTGGTCTCTCTCTCTTGTCTCTCTCACTGGTTTCTGGTCTCTCTTTCTGGTCTCTCTCACTGGTCTCACTGATCTCTCTCTGGTCTCCCTCTGGATTCCCTCTGGACTCTCTCTGGTCTCTCTCTGATCAGCTGACGTACAGAAATACCCTATCTCTGTCTCTCTCTCTTTCTCTCTCTCTCTGAGCCAAATGACTTCAACGTGATTCCATTTACGCATGATAACAGCTTCACACAAGTCACAAGTCCAATAATAAAAACATTGTCCTCAGAGATAACCGGGGACACTCTAACATGTGAGATTAAAGCTGGGGGACGTAACTTTCAAGCCACACTAAGGAACTATGTGATCCAAACCATGTCACTGGTTCTATCGCTCTATGGTGTCAGCCTTTGTCACATCTTTAGATCAGCTTTCACTCAATAAGCTCTCAAACAATGATTCTCTCTCTGCTCTCTCTCTGTCTCTCTCTCTATCACTCTCTCTGTCTATTTCTTTCTCTCTCTATCTTTCTCTGTCTCTCTCTCTCTCTCTGTCTCTCTCTCTCTCTCTGGTTTCTTTCTGGTCTCTCTCTCTCTTGTTCTCATCTCATTCTGGTCTCTCTTTGGTCTGTCTCTCCCTGGTCTCATTCTGATCCCTCTCTGTTCGTTATCTCAAACATTTATAAGTGACAGAAAAAAGGTGAAAGACTAAACTATTTGTATAAGTGTTTTTTTGTGTGTTTTTTTTAAACATATTTTCCAAACAGAGACAAAGCTGGTTCTGCAAATAAACTATTCCAAACTGCACATTCATCTCCAGATTTTGTGCTAAAAAAAAAACATAATTCCTTATTTACAAGTTTAAATCCCACGTCAAAATGCTTCAAAAGTTAGTTGATGCAATAGAGAGGTCCCAGGTCTCAGGTCTTAGGTCCCAGGTCTCAGGTCTCTGGTCTTAGGTCCCATGTCTCAAGTCCCAGGTCTCAGGGCTTCACTTGCCCGGGAGCAGATGGTGCTTTGAACCCGCCTTACCTCACCTCTATCCCGGCTTAGTAATTCGTCGAAAGCCGCTGGTTGAAGAAAAAAATCCCCCAGTGGAAGAACCGCAGAGAGGGCCGAGTTCTGCGTGCACTGTGGCCGGAAGAGGAGCCCAGGAGCGGGAGGAAGAGACTGCAGACTCGGTGGAAAGCTCCCCGCGGAGTGTGGTGCTGCGCTGCGGGACTGAGGAGGTTATGAGCGGCTTTGGCTCCAGCTGATCCGAGAGACGAGCAGGGGCGCAGCTGGAGAGGGGGGGCTGCGGGCAGGGGAGGGGGGTCTCGGGAGTTTAGACGGATATCTGTGTCTATTTTGGCTCAAAGAATACTATAATGTTGACTATCATTTTTTCAGTTTCTTAGGATTTCTATTTCTGAGCACTAGATCTCCCAGAGCAGCCAATTGGACGGCTTTTTGCCTGTGTGGCTTTTCTGTTTCTATGTAATTTATTTCTTTGTTAATATTCTCAGGAAATTATCATAAAAGATCAGACCGTACAGAGAGTCACCAGAGAGGGGTCAGGAAAGGAGACCAGAGAGAAACACCAGAGAGAGAGACTAGAGAGAGACTAGAGAGAAACCAGAGAGAGACCAGAAAGAGACCAGAAAGAATATTTTTTTTATAATTATTTTATGTTAAATTAATAATATTTTGTTTGCAATATAAAAATATTTGTGTTCATTATTTGACTTGAATAATCAAATTGTAATAATTTTTGTATTACAAAATGGGGCGCGTCATTTACATGTTTGTGCAGCAGTAATAAAAACTACAAACTCTATCACTATTTTGTTTATGAAAATGAAAAGATAAAGAGCCAGTGTCAATGATTTCAACAATCCTTTATTGTTCAAAGGAGCCTAAAGAAATGACTAGTAAACATGAATAACAATAATTATGAAAATATAAACATTAAAAATTCTTCTTCGTTCTGTAGTCTTTTTTAGGTCTCTTTCTCTGGCCTCTCTGGTCTCTCTCTGGTCTCTTTCTGGCCTTTCACATAGTCTCTCACTGGTCTCGTTCTCTTTCTAGTCTCTCACTGGTCTCGTTCTCTTTCGTGTCTCTCTGGTCTTTCTTTGGTCTCTGTTTGGTCTCTTTGATCTGTCTCTCTCTGGTCTCTCTGAAGAAACATGTCTTTCTGATCTGATTATGGCTGTCTTGTAAAGAAGAATAGATCTCCAGCATGCAGACCCAGACTTGTACTTTTGTAACCCCAGTCCAAAGAAAGCTTATGAAGTGCGTCTGTTCACTTAGATCTTATAAATGTATAAATCCTGACCTGCAGTCATACACGTGACATCAGAAAAACAATTCTGTTCCAGAAGCGGAGAATTCCTGCGACACGTGAGAGACTTAAAGACTGCGGAAAAAATGCAAGGAAGAAAAGCTCCAACTGTGATGGACTGAAGGAAGCAGGCGTGTTGTTTGGACCTGTGTCGCTCAAAGTAAAAGGGTCAAATCAGTAGTAGTAGTTTGTGTTCTTTATTTATATCCCGCCTTTCACAGACCAGAGACACAAAGCGGTTTACAATTGTGGGCATTGGTCTCTCACTCCACACAGGAGGCGGATGCCAGACCTATTGTACATGTTTTTAGTGGTAGGACAAACCGGAGTACCCAGAGAAAACCTACGCCGAGGGAGAATGGGGAGAACATGCAAACTCCACTCAGAGAGGCCCTGTTCCGACCGGGATCCAAACCCAGGACCTTCTTGCTGAGAAGCGAGAGTGCTGTCCACTCAGTCACCGTGCTTTCAATGGAAGTATTACATTTTATAGTAGTATTCATATTAGGAGTGAGTAGTAGCAGTTAGCAGCAGCAGTAGTAGTACCAATAGTAGCAGTAGTAGTAGCAGTAGTAGTAGTAGTAGTAGTAGTAGTAGTAGTAGTAGTAGTAGTAGTAGTAGTAGTAGTAGAGTAGTGCAAAACCAACCCCACCTCCACGTGGTGCACTATGGGCATTGGGTCGTACCCCAACCCCCCTGGGGTCATGACCCGATGGCAAACGGGGCTCTGGCTGTAGGAGCCGGCGACTTCTGCAGTACACCAGCCACACACCTGTCTACAGGACAGACCTGCTCTGGGGCTGACAACCCCTGAGGAGGGACGCTTCAAGTTACAGAAATATGTCACAAATCGACCTGGTAGATCTGACGAAGGAAAACTGGACCACATTTCTTGAAGCACTGTAGGCACATCCCTAAGCCCATTCAAAGGAGCTCAGTGAGTTTTTTTTAGCAGGTGAGGCCACTTTTAAAGAGGCCAAGTCCTGCAGTACCCGGGCCTCCCCCCGGGTCGCTCCCCTCCCCCTGGGTCACCTCCCCAGGAGCTCGCACCTGTAAGTCCACCTGCACAGGGAAGCGAGGCGGGATTCTCTGGCAATAAGACCAGGCCAGGGTCAACCGTGAGGCATAGCTTTTTTTCTCACTCGATAACTCCGGGCTAGGATTTAAAAAAAAAAAAAAAAAAAAAAAGTAGTAGTAGTAGTAGTAGTAACCTCCCGCCACAAGAACAGTTTCTTCCCCTCTGCTGTTGGACACTTCATAACCTGTCCCCCGCCTCCTAGAAGTCCCCTCACTGCCCTTTATAATGTCACTTTACTTTACTTTACTGCTGTCACATTATAGATGGTTTTCCATCACGTGCTTATTACCCATGATGCTTTGCGCGAACACCATGTTGTTCGTCTGGCTTATATTGCACGGATCATTTGTACCCATGTCAACTAAAACCACGAATTCGGCCGACGCTGACCGCGTTAAGCATATTGATACTGTCAGGGATGAAGCAGACAGAGACGGATCGTGGTGTGCCAAACTCTGGAAGTTTATTTAAGTTTCTCTCAAGTTCCAATGGTTTACTTTGTTTCTTTCTCCCAGACAGAATAAAGGCAGTACACAGTTTATATAGTCATTGTCACGTCACACATCGAAAGACGTACGTGTCACACAGAGACAGTGCACATCATAGTCATAACATGGAGTCCTTGTAGAGTCCTTGTAGAGTCCTGCACGTAGGCCATATTGCTATCTAATACTAACACCCTCCCCTTTGATCACATAATCACATGTGATCACTCAATTTGATCAATCAATAAAGTGGAAAAAGAAAAAAAAAATCTAAAAAAAAAAACTTTTTAAAAATTAGTAAAAACAAAGAAAATGTATGCATTAAACTCATAATCATCAAATCAATATCAGTGGATTTTATCCTCTATCCTGGGAAAAAATAAACAAACAAAAACAAATCAAAAAATAAAAACAAACAAAAACACTATTGGACACACAAGAACTCAGCAGATTCAGTCAAAACACAGACAAAAACGATTTAGAAGCTAATTTAACTTTTATTACTCTACTTTTATTCTAATGCTAATTGTTTACACTTCACTTATTTCACTGTATTATTTTCACTTATCAATCTTAGACTGTGTACTTTACTTTTACTATCACTATAGTTTAAAACTATTCTAATCTATTTACAAATATGTTTGCATATTTGCTTCTATTGAGCCATATTCTTAAACATACATTTTAATCTAATAAATCTCTCTATACTGTATTATACTCTCATTATCAGTGGCTTATTGTTAGTGGGATTTTGCTCTATGTCTCTACATTCTCAGGAATAAAACTGTGAACACAGTAAGGCAAATGGTCAACATTTACACTTCTATAGTGGTCAGTGATTTATTACTTTTTATTATCTAAAGATATTATTGTCAGGCATTTGGGATGAATGTACATCATTAATCAAATTAGTATAATCCTTACAAGAGCTAATCTATTTGAGCAGGTTTGGGGTCAGTTATTCTACAATGGTGTTTGTGCTGGAAACTTCTCAATATCTAAATATCTACTATACTGTTTTTGTGCTATACACAAATACATCAAAATGCTTTTGAATGCTTTTGAATCTCTGTTGGTTGTAATCTATCTCATTAATCTAAGCTACACTCATGAACTTTTTGCATTGTCAACATTCACTCATGTGTGAACACAAGTGAATTTGGCAAGTATCTAATAAAACTGTACATAAACTGTAATGAACTTTATTTACTTCTGAAGTAAAAGCTTGTGAAATGGTCCCTTTACCATTTGATATTAGCACTGGCTACAAATAATCTCTATTTTTGAAAGCATATATGGTTGATGCATTTATCTAATTCTATTTCTACACTATTGTGACTCTAAAGCTCGGTTGCAGCTTGAGCCAAGGCATATTTCTAGTTTGTGACTTCTGTCACTTTTAATGGCTGTAACATTATTCTGATTCTAATATTTTAGCTGATCTATCAGAAGGATAACATTGTATGGTACTATTTTAACTCTTATGTGGAAATGTGTTTATGAACAACAAAGGAAGTCAAATTCTACTCTTTTACTACTATTTAACAGAGGTGGGACAAAGTCATTGTTTAGCAAGTCACGAGTCAGTCTCAATTCATTGCCCTCAAGTCCCGAGTCAAGTCACGAGTCAAGACAGGCAAGTCCCGAGTCGAGTCCAAGTCAAAGGCCAACAAATCTCAAGTCAGTCCCAAGTCCTACGGTTTGACTTTCGAGTCCTCTCGAGTCTTTTTGACCGCGATTTGTTTCTTGTTGGTCTCCACGTACTTTTGTAGGCAAACAAAATAATGTTAGGAATCATTTTGCTGATGCATTCTCGTTGGTCTCTGACCCATGGACTAACAGTTTGTTCCATGTCGTTGTCTGCTGATAAATCAAAACTATCTACGTGATCTAATTGGATGTTGTGCCAGATGCAGGCTCAGTTACACATGCACAGACCACACATAAAATCAGAGCAGTCCGTGTCAACATACTTTTTATCTTTGGGGTTTTTAATGGGAAGTAGCAAGTGCAGCATATATGAATATGAGTATTGGGCTAGGATCTGTATCTATATAATCAGTTTAATGTCCATAGTGGTTATTGTTCCAAAGGACTGAAGGGACCAATGGAGGGGAAGGAACCTGGCCTGTATTAGCAATATCTCATAATTACCAATATATCATTACATAATAAAATGTCTCATATAAATTAATTCAATCAGTCAAAGCACTGATTCTCATATCAATGCACCATAAACAATAGTGCAAATATTAATCTAGCTTAGTGCACATAATCAAAACAACTATCTAATGTATGCAAACTTTAGCAGGAGGAGCACAGCAAAAACATACTCATAATAATAGGCCTCTGCGCCCACACAGAAAAATATAA